GGACTTATTACCAAAAACCCATTTAATAATTGTTGAATTGTACAACCGTCTTCAATTAAAAAACATGAAATGAAAAAACTTTAAGGACTACACTGATGGTATTGATAATTTATGAATAAATAAAAGGAAAAAAATAGTGATACATTTGTTTTAGGAATATGGTTAAAACAATTTTTTGGGTTTTTTGGGTTAAATTTTCTCTGTATTTTTTTGCACATTTTTTTTCAAAAAAAGTCAAAAAAAGAATATAAAAAAAAAAACAGCTTTTAACCTACATTTCAAAAGTAGAATTAACACTTGTGACTTTGATTTTGTCTACGAAAAAATATTTGAGAACCATAAAACATGAGAAATTTTATTTCCACACACCTGATTAGCTCAGGGCACACACTTAATAAAATATTAATTTAATGACAATTATATCCTAAGTAAAAACGACCATAATAGACATCCAGTAACAACCATAATATTATATAGAAAAATTTTCTGTACACAGCTTTTAAGACCAAAAAAAATCTCAATATACACCTTTTGAATTAAAAAAAATTAAATCCTAGGTATGCCATTGTTGTCACTTTACTTGTTACACACTCTATACTTCTCTATTTCTTGCAAACCAATACTCTCAAAACATCTCTCATATTGCTTTAATCTGTAGGTTTATACTCTATTATTTACATCAATTTCTTATTAGTTCCACAATTTTTACTTGATTTTGATATGGAAGAGTTGCAAACCTATGGAATTTCAAACTCAAGCAAAAATATGTCTGGTGACAGCAAAATTAATGATGAAATGGTTAGTTTTTTCGTATAGTAATTTTTTTTTTCGATTTTCAATCGGATATTCAAGGCTGAATTTCATCACTTATTTCGGAAATCAACTTCCGAAATATTATTTTTATTTCGACATTTGAAGTTCGAAAATTATATATTAATTCAATATTAAAATTCCGAAATGTTTTACTTTTTTCGATGCTTGAAAACCGAATTTTCTTACTTTTTTGGTATTAAAGTGCCGAATTTTCTAATTAATTTCGGCTCTGTACAACCGAATAAAATATTTTTTTTCCCCATTCTCAGATGGCATGCATTAAAGAAACCTAGGTTCGATAAGATATTATAGTGGATTGTACTAGTCATTTTACAGCTAAACAGGTATGCTTTAGCATGAAATTTGTAAGTTTATAATTTTTATTAGTTAGTTTGTTTAGTTTGTTCTTATGAAAGTTGTATGATATTATATACAGGTTTTCGGGAACAAAGATGAATTGCTTACTTGGGTACGTGATATGGGAATGATAGATGGCTTTGTTATTATTATAAGGATGTCAGACTATGGTGGTGGTCGCAAAAGACCAATAATTTATCTTGCTTGTGAGCAGAGTGGGAAGTATAGATCGCGTAAGAAGTTGAAGATGGCTCGAAAGACTTACTGAGACAAACTGGTACAAAAAAGTGCGAATGTCCATTTGATTTGAGGGCATACAAGTTGAAAAGAAACAATGAATAGACATTGGATGTAGTTTGCGGATTGCATAATCATCCAGTTGTGGGGCATCTCCAAGGACATTCATATGTAGGGAGATTGTCAGCTAACGAAAAGTCACTGTTAGTAGATATGTCAAAGAGTCTAGTAAGATCAAAAGAGATACTCATTACACTCAAACAGAGGGATGGCCTTAATATGAGCACAATGAAGACAATTTACAATGTACGACATCGATGTAGGATTGTACAGAAAGCTGGTAAATCCCAGATGCAACAACTGCTGGGTGAATTAGCGAAACATAAGTACATTGAGTGTCATCGATGTGAGGAAGGCTCTATGACTGTCACAAACTTGTTTTGGACACATCCACTGAGTTTGGATTTGTTTCGTACATTCCCTCGTGTGTTGATTATGGATTGCACATATAAGACGAATAGCTATTGGCTTCCTCTTCTTGAAATTATGGGAGTGACATCAACTCATATGACATTCTCCGTGGCTTTCGCATACTTGCAAACTGAGCGGGTTGATAATTATGCATGGACGTTACAAACATTGTGTGATTTTATGGACAACAGTATTTTACCTGAAGTCACTGTCACAGACAGAGAGCTTGCTTTGATGAATGCCATTGACAACACCTTTCCGAATGCTCAACATTTGTAATGTCGTTGGCATATTAATAAGAATGTATTTGCGAAATGCAAGAAAATGTTTGAGACAAAAGAAAAATAGGAGAAGTTCAACACTGCATGGAACTATTTGGTATTGTCATCGACTGAAGAGGAATACAATGATCACCTTGCAATATTGCATAAGGATTTCAGCAACTATTTGGCTGCAATCAAGTATGTCACTGTGAGTTGGTTGAATCCGTATAGAGAAAAATTCATTGCTGTACATATAGACATGTGTATGCATTTTGGCAATGTTACAACCAATTGGTAATATATGTTTTTTTTTTTAATTTCTTATAAAGCATATTGTTATTTTCAATTATTATGCTTAACTATTTTTTGTTTACACCCACATGAACAGGGCTGAGAGTGCTCATGCTAGATTAAAGAGGCAATTAGGTTCAAGTCAAACGACATTTGAGATTTCAATTGAAAAAATACATTGTCTACTTGAGTTGCAGCACATTCAAGTAAAAGCATCATTTGAGAAGAGTTTGACTATCGTGCAATGTCAATTCAAACATTCTCAATTTCGAGAGCTTCATGTGTCTATTTGTGCATTGGAGTACATGTTAGCAGAGAGTAAGAGAGCACATTCAGTTGGAATTGATGTTGTAGCATGTGGATGTGTTCTTAGGTGCACGCATGCTTTGTGCTCATGAGATTGCAGATTACATCAGACAAGGCTGTCCTATTCCACTCAGTAGCATACATGTACATTGGACGTGACTTACTATATGTGTGCATAATCCAAAGCTTGAGAAATTGGAATTGACTTGTATCCTAGAACTTGAGATGATTTTAAAGTGGTTTAATGAGTCTGATATTGCCACGCAATTGGATATGTTGAAGAAGTTGAGGGAAATTGCAAATACAGCGAGCACTTTTCTTACTGAGCCTGGTGTAAAGCCTAATCCACATTAAGGACATAAGAAAATTGATATATCTTGTCGTCGTGACCCATGCGCATTTGAGTTTGTTGGCGATGGCCATGATAGCCAGAGCAAATTAGCGTCTAGTCAGTCGAAGAAAAAGAGAGCTTTGAAAGTGTATGAGAAGAAGCGGAATGTGAAGACAAAGACATATTGTACAAGAACAAGTTTACCGAGTGTATATGCTAGTGACTTCCCGCTTATGTTAAAACCATTCATAAAGTTGATGAAGGATGTAGATGGTGATGGAAATTGTGGTTTTAAAGCTATTGCGGGTTTACTTGGTCTTGGAGAGAATGACTAAGTGTGAGTTAGACATGATCTACTGCTTGAATTGAATAACCACAGAGATGAATACGTCATACTATACAAGTCACATGAGAGGGTTGAGGAGCTAACACACATCCTTTCATATTTTGAAGATAGCCCAGGCTTTGATCATTGGATGACTATGCTTGACATGGGGCATCTTATTGCATCATTTTATAATGTAGTTTTCTACCACTTGTCATTGCAACAGTGTCTCACTTTCTTACCTTTGATATCACCGCTAGTAACACTAGCTAATCGTCACGAGATTACCATTGAATTTGTTAATGAAAATCATTTTGTGCAGGTATATGTTATGAAATTAACCTAACATTGTTGTTTAATATTTGTGTAATTACAAATTTGATGGAATTGGTAAAGATATGTAATTTTTTGGATGTATAGGCAGGTATTTTTGGAGGCCAGTCATCCAGTTCCTCACATTGCTGTGCTTTGGCGAGTTCACCATCACCCTTGTGCATCAGAATGAGAGAATGCATATGTTAGCTGCATTCAAAAATTCAAAGACAACATAGGACCTAATGTAGCTACTTGAGAGATATTTAATGTAGTTAACATAGATTGATATATTAGAGAGTAGTCATGAGAGGTTTAAGACATTAGTTTTTATGATTTACTAGCATGGAGTAACGAGATGGATATCATTTTGCCATTGGATTTTGTAATGGTCATTTTTTTAAATAGAATATCATATGAGTTATAGTTCTCTTATTTATGGAATGGATGTCATATTATTTTTACATTGTCTAAACACAAAATGTAATGAAATAATATTAACTAAGTGCAACTAATGTTAAAGATTATTCATATTAACCAACAAGTATCTAAGAAGAAATAGTAATATTAACTAGTAGTTCAATCCATCCACATCATCACAAAATACATGTCTCCTTATACATGATCCAAGAAGTACATAATCCAAAGATAATAATAATATTTGTCTCCTTATACATCCACCAACACCATCACAAACTACTTGTGCTAACATTATGAACTACTATCAACTACGTGACCGGTAAGTGTAATGTGCTTCAAAACGATGTGCAGTGGAAGAGCTGGGTGCAGATTGACCCTAAGCGGATGTGTTGGGTGCAGCTTCACTAATGTGCTGATCTTGAAAAAGTTGTTCAATTGCATCAATTATGTAATAAAGCCTATCAGGATGTTGATCAATGTCCTCATAGCCAGCCTCAACGAAAAAATGAGTAATCTGATATATTTGTGACATACGTTGCATTACGAGAACAAATACAACATAATATACAAACCTATAATAGTTTACATAAATAATTTGTAATGTAAATGAAAAAAAGGATACCTGTGCGTCTTGGCTAGGATACTGATAATGATGAATATTCGGGTTCACCTGAGAACGACGCGCTGGGTTTTGAACATGCATATGGGTAATGGTTTGGTACCAATCCATGTAACCAGGAACACAATCCCAAGGTTGCCGTACCGATGTACTCCTCCTCCGATCAGATAACACATGGTTGTCTCATGTCTCCTAAATGATATCTATGTATGCATACATAACATTGTAGCGTGGAGCTGTGGCTACTCGAGAAGTTCACATAAGGCCAAGTAGCGGATTAAGAATTGTCTGCACTCTACCAAACTGTCTTAAAACTCTATCAGGGTGATATGGTTCAACTACTTCCAAACACTTTAAACAACCGTAGTAGAATGTAACTAGGTGACATGGATGGACATCTCTGCAATTCTGGTATGGGTCCCAAATAACCTACAAACAATAACAACTGTAAGACATGACAACTGTAAATTTTGTATGATATAGAGTTTCAAATTTTAAAGGACTTTTTAACTTACATCATGTACACCTAACCTATCAAGCTCCTGTCGAAAAGCCTGCAACTGTGTTTCTTCACTAGACTCTCTCCGAGAAGTCCAACAATAAACATGTGGCATGTCGCGAGTGTAATTCATATTCAAGTGTGGTCGGAATCCGCGAAAGTGTTCATAAATCCATCCCTCAAGGAGTGTCATGTAATCGGCTATTTGTTTCATGCCAGACCTGCTAGCGTACCCCATTTGTCTATATAAGTATGCCAATGCAGCAGCACTCCAAGCATATGAAGATACAGTCGTCAAATCGGACAACAAACTCAAATAAACAACAGGGACCCTAATACCAGTCTTGTCATTGAAAAGTGTACAACCCAACAAAAATAGCAAGTATGCTCTACCTGCACATGCAATTCTTTCCATTGAATCATTGTCTGTGACATTATGAAAGTGTGCCCTCAACTACTCAAGCCTCACTGAACCAACACTAGACATCTCATGTCTGACCTTTTGCTCATCAATTTCCAATGTATTAACTACTAATGCAATGGCTTGCCTTTCTGACAACTTAAGAACACTAATAGATTTGTCTACAATGGGAAGCCCTAGGATAGTGGCAACATCGTCTAATGTGATAGTTATCTCTTCAACAGTCAAATAGAAGGTGTTTGTCTCCAGTTGCCATCTCTCAACAAAACTAGACACTACAATTTTGTTGACAAAGCGGTATGCGCAACGACCTAAGTGTGCAAGTCCTGACATCTCCACAATTTTAGAAATGTAGCGTTGTTTCCTTGTTCCTATCACAGCCACGAACGAATCTTAGACGAGTGACTATGACACTTCAAGGCCTCCCTTTCATCAGCACCATTCCAAATAACTGTAGCAACATGACTTTTAAAACTTTTAAGGATTGATGGATCAGTTAGCTCTCCTGGAAATGGCTGAGTAAGGATATCTTCATCAACAATGTCAGCATCATCACTAGTAGGGTCATCATCCATAACTGGTGCATCATGTATAGGATCATCATCCATGGCAATGTGCATGCCATCATCATGCACTTGAGCATGCCCACGTTCACGTCCACGTCCAACATTCTCTAATTCACGGAGTCTTCTGTTCAGAGCTGTTACTAACCGACGTTGATTGGGACCAGCATCCATCTACATAAGGAAAGTTGTTCTCATCAACCCAATATAGCATTTATAGTGAAAACACTAACAAATATAAAATCAAATAGTCAAATTATAGTCATCAACCAATATAGGAATAATAACTACCTAAGCTAACAATATAATGTGAAAATACCAATACTGCACAGATTTTTGTTTCTATTATTATGCATTGAATTTCGCAAAAAAAAAAAAAAAAAAAAAAAAAAAAAAAAAAAACAAAAAACCAAAAAAACCCAAAAAAAAAAATTTTTAAAAAAAAACCAAAAAAAAAAAAATGGCATTCATCTAAATTTTAGATTTCATTAAGAATTGGGCCCTGCTTATCATTGTGGTAAGATCCACTCTCTCTATGCATGAAATAATAAATCGAATGTTATATATCATAAATATATATATATATATATATATATATAAAATTCAGAACTTCAATGCCAAAGAAACACAAAAATTTCAGAAATCAAATGGTGAAAGTATTGCATTACTTCAGAACTACATAACCAAAATAACGTATCAGATTCGGCAAACAAACTTCAAAAGTTTGTATTGTTTTCAGATCTAATTGGTCGAAATAATACACCTTATTCAATGATTAAGTTCTGAATTAAACAAGCAAATTTGGACAACCAGTGCCGAGAGCTCCAAATCGTAAATCACAAAGGAAAAATCGATGGTTTTATGCCAATGGAGTGCAGAGATATCCGAAAATGGTAAATGAAATAACAAAATGATAAATATAATAATAAAATGGAAAGATTTCTTACCTTAAACAAGGGTTTTCAATGGTTTTTAGTGGAGGTTCAATGAAGGTCTTCAATGGAGGTGAGGAAAGTTCACCGGCTCTATTTTTATTTTTATTTTATTTTTCTCTATTTGAACTTCACTGACTTTGGTCTTCACTTTTGTGGGTGGAACTAGAAATGTGAAGTAGGGTCAATAAAAGTGTGGATTTGAGGGTAAAGTGGTGTGTGTACCATGGTTATGAGTGATAGATGTAATTATAATTTTAAGGATGTGGATTGAAAAAATTAGTTAATAATCAAATTAATAGATGTGTGTATTGAGAAAATATTTACCTTGAGTTAATTAGGTATGTGGAAATAGAATTTCCCAAAACACATCATCTATAAATGTATTTCAATGACACAGGACTATAATGTACCACATTCATGTAAATAAATCAAAAATGATATTTAGGGCCAAGGTAGCTTGGCCCCTATCTTCATAAAAACTGCTTAAAGCGTTTTTAACAAGACATTCAAATTTGGAGATGCTAAATTATTTTACAGTATAAGTGGCATTTTGACATTTTCAAATTTGGCATATCCAAAATAAACACCCCTATCAAAAGGGCAAAATCTATTATACACACTTCCAATCATATACATCTCTAAATTATGTCATTTTTTTCTTTAGTTATATTAATTTATTTTTTTAGTTATAATCTTATTTAGTTATAACTCATGATATTTTTGATTATATCTCATGTGTTACTTGGTTATGATTGTTTTTTTAAAAAAAATTATGACCCAGAAAATATGACGTTATGCCATTCTCTTTTTTAACTATAAAGTGCATACGATACACACCTTTTAAAAGGTGTATAGCATAGACTTTCCCCTACCAAAATGTCAAATCTATTATTTTTTACTTTAATCATCGTTCATTATAGTCATGCGTCATTGAAATACATTTATACTCCAACAAAACTCTCTAAAAAAAGAGGCCCACTTAATAAACAAATGAAAAATAATGATTTGAAGATTTATAAGCCGTATGCAAAATTTGAAGATAAAAAAGGATGCAAAATAGGATTTTAACACTTTTGTTGGAGAATTCAATACCTTCAAATCTGATTATATCACCAACCACTTAAGATTTAACATCACCCATAAAGATGATCTTAGTGTATATAGTATATATCGAGATCTCAAAAATAGTTATATAATAGAATAGTAATATTACTAGCATACAAAAATTTAATAGAAATGTACAAAAAAATTCATCAAATTCATTTTAGATGCGTCTTCATCACATAGAATGAATTTGAGCGGTATATTAATATTTCTATATACCTATACTTAAGAACAAGATGAAAGATGAACAAAATGAAAGATGAACAAAATGAAAGATGATTGTCTCACAAATATTTTTAATACAAATTCTATCTGTGAGGATATATTTTTGAGTACCGACACGTGGTAAGGTGACGCCGACGTGTCAGCCGAGGTACCACGTGTCAGGGTCATGACGCCGAGGTGATCTCGGATAAGCCGAGGTTATCTCCGTGGATATCGGAATTTGAGATAATCGGATAAAAGATAAAGGACAAGTGTCCAAGAATAAAGAGGAGACTTAGCCAAGATAAGGATAAAGCTCTTAGGGAGTTTATCTTTATCTCTGAAGGAGTCCAAAGTAAGTACTGAACAGGAATCCATAGAAGTCAGGCTTCTATTGAGATTAGGATTGAGGTAACTATAAAAGAGAGGCACGCCCGTGGGTCTAAGGTACGCAATTTTATACTTTGAGCATTGAGTTTGGCATTATTGATTATCTTTGAGAGATATACTAACTTGATCGTCGGAGTGCCCCCGGGTGGACGAACCACCGCCGAAATCTTCTCTTTCTGTTACAGGTTAGCCAGGTGTCATCTATTCTGCCAGTATTCTCTAGCTAAGTACTGAGTTGGGCAGTGTGATCGGAAAATCACTCACACAATTTGGCGCCGTCTGTGGGAACGAAAGTAGATTAGATGGCCAATAACGGACAGAAGGAAAAGATTGGGAACGACACTCCTACTGGGAGTGAGAGACCTATTGACCTTGATGGCGAAGGAGAAAGGTCGAATGCAAAAACTCGTGACCAGAATCACGGAGCGAAAGACGTCGGCCAGACTAGCGACGCACCAAAGAAACATGATCAAAGCAGGTACTGCAATGAAGACAACCTCCAGGTTTGGAAGGATAGGTGCCTACGGAGGGACGAAGAGGTAAAAGAGATGGCAAACAAATTGGCAGACCTACAGTCGGTCGTCAATTTCATGATGCAAAATAACGTCATGCAGCTACCATTCCCGCTGCAGGACATGCCGATTCCAGCGGCCAATACACAGAAGGGAGGGCAGAAAACAATCCCCATAGCCCCTCAGCACAACGGAAATGAAAGACACTCTCACCGACCTTCTAGGGAGGTCAGACGAAGAGGATCAAGAAGAGAAGAATCACGGAGGACGCATCACACAAGGGAGGCAGATCCCAAAAGACATCGGCATGTTCAGGGGCAGGCATTGTGCTTCGACACAACTCATGGAGAAGGATCGAAAAGGGCTCACCACGAGGCCGAGAGTAGCATACCGAAAAGACTGAAGTCGAAAGATAGCCGAGCTCTTAGGCGGAGCAAAGAAGACTTAAGAGATTACCTCAAGAGGAAGCAACAGAATGCCGAAGCCGAGGTAACCTCTCCAGATAAGCCGAGGACACCATTCTCGATGGAATTAGACAGATTTGAGGCACCAAAGTGATTCAGTATGCCGAGGTTTCAAATATATGATGGTAAGTCAGACCCCAACTTCCACGTAGGACTATATTTGAATTCAATGGCATTATATGGTGGGAACGAGCCATTGCTCTGCAAAGTGTTCCCCTCATCCTTCGGGGAGATAGCATCAGATTGGTTCCACAAACTACCGAAGGGAAGCGTGAAGACTTGGGAAGGCCTGGTCGAGATGTTTGTGGCCAGATTTGTGACAAACAAGCTGCAGCCATTAAGGGTGGACGCATTGATGGCTCTGAAGATCAGCAAGGATGAAGGCCTTAGGGCCTATGCAAAAAGATACTATGAGGTATTCAATCGAATACCCGAATGTAATCAAGAGGTGGCAGTCGCATCTTTCAAGAATGGCTTGAAAGATAACTGTCCACTATGAAAGTCTTTGGCAAAGACATTGCCAAAAAGTATGGAGGAGCTCATGGCGAGAATCGAGAAGTACGCTAGAGCCGAAGAAGACACATCGGGAACCAGGGAGATAAAACAAGAGAAAGGAAACGGCTCGCCGAAGCGAGGCCGAGGTAACAATGGAACGAGCAGGCAAGAGGCAGAACTGAGGGCCACACAAGCAGTAACAACTATGTTCCGGATCCCAATTCCCAAAGTCCTGGATCAAATTCGGAACGAGTCCTATTTCAGAATGCCAGAGAGGACTCCAGGAGAGTTCATGGGAAGAAACATTGGCAAGCATTGTGCCTACCATAATGAAGATGGGCCTACAACTCAGGCTTGTAGAGCCCTAAAAACATATTTGGAAGACCTGGTAAGACAAGGACATCTGGGAGACCTTGTCGATGAGACCAGGACAAGGGAAGAACGGGCAAGGTTGCCTCAGGCACCAACAGCCCCACCTCCCCCAGCACAACAGCCACAGGCAGGAAGACCTCGGATAATCAATGTAATCCACTCAAAGGTCAACGAAAATGAAATCCGAGGAGAAACCCAGAAAGTGAAGCACCTGCAACATGTCTACCAAGTCGAGGAGAAAAGACATCAGGCAGAAGAGTGCCATGGACCAATGATAACCTTTACTGAAGCCAACCTAGAGATGGTCCAGCATCTGCATAATGATGCCTTGGTAGTATCCCTACAGGTTGGGGAGTGCCAAGTAAAACGCATCCTGATTGATCAAGGCAGCTCTTGCGACATCATGTACGTCCGATGTTACAAAGAGCTCGGCCTTCACCCAGATGATATGGAACAATCCAATGGCCCAATGGTTGGGTTCAATGGAACACCGACATGGCCACTGGTAACAGTAAGCTTGGAGGTGCAGGCTGGCACCAGGAAGATCAAGACAGAATTCACCATCATCGACACACTGTCCCCTTACAACATCATCTTGGGAATACCATGGCTGCATGCAATGGGGGCAGTTCCCTTAACATTGCAACAACTATTGTGATTCCCAACAGAGCATGGGATAGAGGAAGTCAGAGGCGATC